CAGTCGGATAATGACCGGGTAGGCACTTATAGGTAAGCAAGATCGGTATCTGACCGACTTAGCTTGCACGAAGAAGCCAAGTCGACTATATACCGAGTGACTCTGAGAGAGTGAGTCGGCCAAGACTATAGTCCGGTGACCTCATGGGGAGAGATCAGGTCGGAATCCGACCTAGACAGTACAATTTGCATGCAGTAATTAACATGGAGACGAGGACAATGAAGATAACACTTTGGTTCACTCTCGTGCGTAAGAGCAAAAAATGCTTTGTCGACAAAATGTATTCCGAGTCCATCTCTAATCTCTATAGTCACTTCATTTCACACATTTAAGCATATATATCATTTTCAACATGAAGTAAGTGACATTATAATTTGTATTGTTTATTTGATGGTTAAGTTTGGAGTATGTTTATTCATGACTGAGCTAATTTTTTTACTAAATAGAAATAGGATGATATTCTTAGCACTGGTGAATTAAGAAGGGTTAAAGAGATAAACATGCATATCATCATATATCTTTTTCGTTATACGAGTCAAAATATAATAATTAAGTGTGCTACTCATTATTAGTTAAATAAATTATGTGGTGCTCGAAGCAAGAAAATAAAACAATTTTCAAAAACCTAATCAAAGTAAAATGATAATAACCTTTTCGTTATAAGCAGTCAAGCACAAAAAAATTGATAGATCAAAGTGAATTATGACATATATGTAAATCCGATTCACCTTGAAAATGGGTTAAAAATTAAGAAATTTATAATTGATAAAAAATTTAACTTGACTCACTTTTGATCGTTATATGAGTTGAACTTTTGATGGATTGAGTTGTCTACTTAACTCACTTATCATTTTGCTTTGTAAGCTCATAATAAGGTATTATTTTTCTTTTGTAGATGAAGATAAAGTTAACGTTAAATAACATGAAATTGATATAGCTAGACTTATCTATTCAAATTTTCAATGAAGTTTAATATTGATGGAACCACTCAAATGACAAGATTTTTATTATTATTGAAAGTTGTACACCTTTTAATTAAGTTTAATGATGTAAGTATGATGTTTAATTTGACAATTTTTATTTTAAGTTGGAGTTTATTTTAAATTGAAGTTTTTTTTATAAATAAAATAGATAGGCTGACTTGTTTAACCCACCAATTTGTGATTGGCCAAGTTAGGCCAAGTTTTTTAGACATTTAAGTAGATAGACTAAACTAATTGAACTCACTTAAAAAGTAGGTTGAGGTAAGTTGAGTCATACATGTTGTGTTAGTCCATTTTGATAGTCTTAACAAAAAAGATTTAGAAACTAATCAAAAAGTATTTCTTAATTGATTACAATGTGTAAAATATGTTTTTCAAATAAATAACATTTTCTTGTTTTAATCAATTATAAGGTTTTTAATTGATTAAAAGAAAACTTGATTTAATCTATTAGAATATGTTTTAATCAATTAGATGTAAACTTGTTCCATTTTATAAAAATTAAGATTCTCAAATTTAATCGATTAAATTAATCTTTAACTAATTAAATCATGTTGAGAGTTATTAACTAAATTTTGGAAAAACATATTAATCGATTACAACTTTATTCTAATTAATTAATTTGACTCTCTAAAAAAACACATTATTTTAATTAATTACAAGGTAGTTTAGTTGATTAAATCAGTTGAATAACAAGTCAGAAATTTTTAAAATGATCAACCATTTTAAATGATTATACTATGGATTAATCAATTAATCTATTGTGAATTTGCTTTGTTATAAATATAATTTTTTGTTCGCTTTGAAAATAAGTCAAGGATCATTTTCTAATGCTTTTCAAGATCAAAGGCAGGGTAAATTCACGACTTTAGAGTTGATCATTATCTATATTAGATATTTTTTCAATGGTTTTTTAAAAGTACAGGTAGAGTTATCATTGCAAAAAGTCTACATTCAAACGCTTTCTTATACCCTTGGGGTATAGGTAGTGAGATTGATCTTTAGCTATGGAGATGGTTTCTTTGAAGGTTCTTGCATAGATTGAATAGGATTTTCAATGGGGCAATGGAAGAAGTTTAGAGAAAGATTTTGATCAAATTTTCTTCTGTGAATATGGTTGTAAAGAATTATTGTGATTCTAATGCAAAAATATCAATCAATTGTTGAGGACTGGATGTAAATCTCTAAGATTGAGAGTGAACCAGTATAAAATTTTGATTTTTTTTTCTTTTTTTCTTAAACTCTTTAAAATTCTTACATTTTATTATTTTATTTGTATATGCATTAAAAACAAGTTAAAATAATAGATCTTAAGAGTTGTTTTTCACGTGTTAATTTAAAACTCTTGAGATTATGATTATTGGACAAATGTTTTAAAAGCTCTAAAGGGAGAAAAACTTTCAAGTAATATTCAATTCACCTCCTCTTAAATACATCATTTATTATAATAGATATAAAAATACCATGTTATTAAGTGGTATATATACAATCAATGCTTTCTTATTTCTTTAATTAAAAAATCAATTTAATCTTTAATATATAAGGGAAAAAATCTCCAAAATTTGTTTGAAATTGTTTTGTGATTCAAGATCTACAACATTCTTAGAAAATGAAAATTATAATCTAAATCATTTTGTTTAAAAAATAAGATTTAAATATACTTTTAATTATCAAATTTAGGGTAGATTTATTTTAATCCTCCAAATTTAAAATTATTATTTTTAGTCTATATAATTTCAAAAAAAATATTTTAGTCATTATACTCAAATTTTGTTAAAAAATTTATTAAATATTATTGTTTAAAATATACCTACTAATGTTACTGTTAGTGAAAACATCACATTAAACTCAAATAATATTGTATAACTGTTTCAATCAGTTATTTTTATATATGTTATTAGTTACTTGAGAAACTAAAACAAGATTTTTAAAAATTATAGGATTAAAAATAATATTTTAAATTTGAGAAACAAAAACAAATTTATTCAAGAAACTAAAAACATATTTAAGTAAAAAAAAAAAAAAAGTTATTATCTACGAAGCTAAGCCCCAATCCTTGTAACAACTTTCACGTACCTAGATAACATCAAGACTTTGGCCCTCTTATGCAAATAAAGTCAGCCAAATGTTGACACTTACATATATCACTAATGTCATTATAGGAGGTACATATTTGATTTTGATCGTCTATAATTATGAATGAAAATGCATGAATTTAGTCCGTTAATATTCTTTTTATTACACAACTAATTAGAATTTAAAATTAAATTTATTAACTCCAATAGTGAGATTTACAAATGCACCTTGTGCAATTTCTCTTGAAACTGTCGACAATTATGATACGTACATATTTAATATATTTCGTTACTTTGGTAAGATTATTATTAAAGTACCTTTTACATGTACTTATAAATGCATGATTTGTGAATACAAACTATTCCTTAAGCCCTAAAATCCCTTTCTCTTTTTCTCTATTAATGTAAAATTATAATTTTTGTCTGTCACTCACTGATACATAAAGCATCCTTCTGCCAATGTTTCATGTATACCATGTTTAATATTAATGAGCCTTATTCTTATTCATAAATTAAATATTTTTTCACTTGACTCTTAGTTGCCAAAATTAATAACGTACAATAGTTAATTACAGAGTAATCAGAAAGAAAATATGGAAGAGTCAGATACACTTCATTGAATCTGCAACAAGTTATGCAAAAAGAAAGTTCCTAGGCAAACTTCTCAAATGAAAATTCAACAATATACAGTGATGAACAAGTTTAGGGATCTAACCTGGTTACCTCATTTCTGCTTATGACCTAAGCAACAATTAATATTGGAACCAAATAACAACAATTATTCTTTGTAAGGAGACATGACAGTGATTATACTTTAATTCAATTTGTTAACATGACCATTGTGTTCAATAGATATACAAACCTTGGATGAGTGTAGGGAGGATCTGCTAGACCAAAAGTGACATCATGAGGAAAAAAGCATGAAGCAAATATGTTTTCATTCTCATTTATTCTTATGATAATTCAATAAATATTTTTCACTCCTACTTCAAATTATTATCTTCTCCATCATATTAAAATTACATAGTTGTGTTGTTGAAAGGGAAATGCACTTATTTGAGAGTTAGGATATATTTGAAATAGATTATGTAAATTTATTCAGATTTATTTTATAACATTTTCCTAGATATTTGGATAATTTTTAAAAAAAAATAACTTGTAAAATGTTTATAAACTATTTTTAATTTATTTCAATAAACATTTTAAAATAACTTAGAAAAATAATTTAATAATATCTCACCTTTAAATATAAAAGAACATTCATATTTTCTTTTCGATAATCATGATATTGTACATAAAATAAGTAACCATAATATTAAAGCAACATTCATATAAATACTTAATCACATTGAATAAATATTTAATTAAATAAATTACTTTAATCACGCCCTAGACTTGTTCAAAACATTGTGTAATAGCCTAGAGAGATCCTACTTTACAAGAAAGCTACTATTGTGATAACATAAAGCTCTTAATTTCTATTAGACCCTCTTTCTATTACTTCATTTTTCTTTCATTGATTTTCTTTTGGCTTATTATTATTTATAAGTTCGAAACTCTTAATGGATTATGATTCATCTTACTTTAAAATTTATCATCATGATCAATTTATTTATCATTTGCCAAAGTTTATATTTGAATTATATGCTTTGTAAGTGTAGGATTTTTCTTAAAAGAATTCAACCATTAACCCCTTTCTTGTCCCTTTCACACCTTGTCCCACTTATAGATTCTCCCAGTCGTTGACTTGTTACGTAAATCAGTCTCTGCTATTATTGTAGTTTTTTTTTTTTTTTTGTCATGATTACTTTCCAAAATGTATATAATTTTGTTCAGGACAAATAGGCTCCCATCCAGTTTTCAAATCCAGTCCAAATTATTCTAAAAGTTGGGTTTAACATTACAAATGGATAAATACAATTACAAAAAACTACATATGGGAGAAATCAATGTTACTTATATTTATAGATTACACTTGATAGAAACCACAATTCACATAGACAAATAATATTCAATGGAACAGAAATAAACAACCCTAAGGAAACTAGATGGACTAAAGACCCATGTTTACATGCAGCATGTGCAATGAGAACTCTAGCCACATTCCTTATACAGGTTTCCTACCTACCAAATAGAGGTTCAATTATGAAAGTGAGACAATGAATAGATTTATGCAAAATGACCCTAACAAGTTGGAATTTATTTTCAACTCTTGCATGATTTTTGGCAAGTCCTCCCATCTTTGGATCCATAACTTGCCTATGTACGCAAACCTCCTACTGACTGTTGCTTACCCCCAGAGCTACTATGAGAAGCAGCACCTTGGTTCATCAAGAAACGAACAACAACACACGTGATATTGTCAGCACTCCCTCTCTGTGATGCTTCTTCCATCAACCTCTTTGCTGCCTCCTCAGCATCCTGAATTGGTTTAATCATAGCAACAGCTTCCTGAAGTTGGAAAAGTAATTCATTTAGCCAATGAGAAGAAAGCAAAACATTTGACTTTATTTTCTTTATAACTAGGTATTCTACATATGAGTTTGGGTTTTGATTTATCTTTTTTGCTCCATTTAGTAGTCAATGAGAAGAAATGAACATAGGGCAAACCTCATTTGTGACAACATCCCATAGCCCATCACTGGCTAGAATAAGAAATTCAAGGGAGCTGTCAACTTTTTCTTCCTGCAAAAATACAAACGTGAACTTAATATACAAAAGAAATAGGCAAGACAAATTAGGTTTAAGGCCGCATCAATAAGAATAAGGAAGATCAGCCAGGACATGGGATATTTCTTCTACATTTTGTTATACTATACATAATTGTTATTGGTTTGTGACATACACATATTTAACTAAAAGAAACTCTAAAATGCTATTGTACAAGGTTAATCGTAGAAATGACTTAAATACAAGATTTAAAACTTCATCATATTGTTTCACTAACGTCATGCTGTGACAATTTCAAAACATTAAGACAGACCGGGAATGTGCAAACAATTACAGAGGCATGCATGCGCATGATCAATGTGTATCCATGCAAATCTGTAATTTTTCATTGCAAAAAGTTCATAGGTTCTTGAAAGTGACAATCACAAACCCACTGTAGGAAGCTTTATTTATATAATTCATTTTCTAAGTGAAATATGCCTTTGGATCACTTATAACCAGCATTTAAATGCAAATCACTTCATTTCTTGTATGCAGATAATGTGAACTATGCACTGGTTGATATAAATCTATAACTAAATAAAATATTCAAGAATGACGTCACAAGGCAATGTAGAGACACCTGAATTTCTGGATCAACAACAACATATTGCTTCAGGAGTCTATCACCAAATGCACGAGAAACAGCAAGAACACCTCCAACTCTCCAAGTCCCTATACACATTATGTCCTCAATATCGATAAACATGATAAATCTATTAAATTAAATAAATAAACTAAAGTTAACTACATGATACATGATGACATTACCAGCCCACATAACAAAGCCTCCAGCATCTTCAATTCTTTGCCTCTCATCCGTTTGGTCTGGCTTGTGATCTCGTGAAACAGCAATGGCTACGGGAAACCACAATTGAAAGAAAAAAATATCAGCAATCTTTCAACATATGAAGGTTGAAACCATTCTATCATAGTAAAAGCACAAGAACATGCCATACTTGCATGCATACATACTATTTTTATACAAGCATAACATTTCACACCTAAAAATAAATAAATATCCTTTATATTTTATCAATAATAAGTGATATCAAGATAGCCATTCACCAGAGACTCAAAAGGATAGGCAAGAATTCTCAATAATGATATTTGAAATTAAAAAAAAAAAATAAGTAATATTTTATAAGCACATTCACACATGGAAACTATATAATTGTTTAAGAATGCATAAAATTATACAAATTATAGTTAATTGAATTATAAATTATTATAAAATTGTATAATATACAAATTAAGTTAATAGTCAAATTATTTACCGTTTCCACCCCTGCATATAACAGCTCTAGAGTCCCCAACATTTGCAACAAGCAAGCGGTCACCAACTAGAATAGCAGTGGATGCAGTTGATCCTGCATCTCTGTTATGACTATTTTCGGATTTTAGAAATTCAGAGTCGGTATGATTATATGCATCAACTGTATAAAGAAACAAAGTTATTCTCTGGATTTAGCAAATTGGCAAAAACCAGACATACGGATCATGCAAGCATATGTAGGAGATTACATACCTATTGCTGATTTGGTGTCAGAAATGAATTTTGGGTGACTGATCAAATTACTAAACAGGTTTTTCTTGACATATTCAGCAGCACGGACACCACCATGACCTGAAAAGAGTTATATAAACAAGAAACTTTCAGTTGCTTCCATTTATCAAACATAGGTCATCCATATGTATAGCCAAGAGAAATAATTCCCACAAGCATAAATTTTAGAGGGAGAAAAATCAGAGGACAAACAAATAAAACACTCTAATGTCTAATCTTATAATTACTCATGTAGGGGAATAAAGGAAGGTTCCAAATTCACAAATTAGAATATAACTTCAAGAGGAGGGTGAAGAATCTAAAAATTACGCCACATAAAGACTGTATATCAAAAACCTCCATAGAGATTTCCTTCATGGTGTGTAGAAAACAACACTACAACCAAACAGATTAATCAAACCACCCACACATTCAGATTAACTTGAGAAAACAAAAGCATAAAAGCTAACAAGACTAGAAATGGAGAACAAAAATACAAAAACTAGCAATCTTTTGTATAAGTGCATAAGTGCACAAGCATCTATACATGGCAACAATAAGTTTCATTGAAAACTCAGTTTCTCAGTATTTAAAAAATGAAAAATCCGAAAAATAAACAGAATAATAAAATAATACTAACAGGAGTGACACATAGCAATGTCATGAGCAATATTTTGGCATATCTTCTAATCATTGTAAAATGGGGAGATGGAGATGAGAGAAAGATATAAATATACCATCAAAAACTCCGAAAAGGCCAACAACTTGACCATTAACACCATCAATTCTTGTCTCATAAAAATCTTCCATTGAAGATCTCTTGCCAGGAGAGCTAGCATACCCATAGCTAAAATTTCCATTGTGACTACAATCAAAAATCATAATAAAGTGTGTTACAATCATCCCTTGCAGTCTCATTCTTTAGGTTGCCTTTTTATTAAAGAAAATGCCAGAGATTGGGAGTATGGGATACTACCATCATCTTTTCTAATCAATCAATGAATCAAATCAGTAATGTATAAATCCCACAACTCATATGATAACACATAAAATAGGGGAAATAGAATTGAGCAGAGACATGCATCCTTAGACATATGCCTCAGTTGTGGCACAAATATGATAACACATTTTATTTGATAGGCCATAACCTATGTCATTTTAGTAAGGAACATCAATCAAATGATTAGAGGGAGAATATAACAGACATGAAAAATAATGGAAAAAATCATCATATCTAAGTCATACTAGTTTAACAATGCCCTTCTCAAAGATTTTTGTTCTCATAATTCCAGCACATGTTTCTTGAATCAAATATAAAATCTATATTAAAACCAGAATCACGCAAACATAATTATGCATATGCAAATCAAGTATGAATAACATTAACCAAAAACAATATTAACAATATGAATTAAATGCAAGAACAGAAGAAAAAAAAATCCAATTCTTGATATAAAGAAAGATGGATATGTGAAAAAGAATTTAACCTTTGACCTCCACCGCTGACAAGTGCATTATCAGAAGCACGAATCTGGCCTGAAGAGGAAGAAACTGAATTGGGATACCCCATATTACCAACTACAATATTTTTTGGGTACCCAGATACTATTTATTTGACCAAAATGAACAAACAACACCACTATTGCATATTCTTTTCTGCCAATGTTCCCAAGTGATCATAACATTAGTTGGATTGGGTCATTCTAAAATCACTCAATTCAGTTTTAACCTACATACAAAACACCGCAGAGAAGAAAGTGTCACGAGTCTTAACAAAATATGCACAAAAGGACAAAAACCTTGCACATAGATATTGCTATAGGTAAAAAGGCATAAAGATGTTGAAACCATGGTTGAACATGATTGGAATTTGCGAAGAATTATCTAACAAGAAAGAGAGAAAATACCTAAGAAAGAGGAGAAAAAGAAATGCCATGACAGGGTATTCTATTCTGTTTGATTTTATGACACAGTTTGTTCAACAATAATAGCATAGTCTTCTTGGAAATTAATTGCACAATTGGGTCAACCAGGATTAATGAGAGAATGAAAAGTCTATTAAAAAAAAAGGAAACATTAATTATTTTTATTTTTGGTGGTTCCTCGGAAGCTTAAAGGTTGTCCAGTGATTCATGAATCATGAAATTATCATTATCTTGAATTCTAATCATTCATCGTATACTCAAATTAGTTGCTTCTTATCATTGCATATGCCATGTTAGAGGATGAGAGAAGCTTTCGGTGGGACCTAGTCAATGACAAAAATAAACGTAGTTTCACATTATGCACTCTACTCGTCCATGTCATGACACATGTCGCTTATGTGCAATGGATGCACAACCAAACGCATGCCCCTTACTCATAACTATGTCACATGACACCTTAATGGCTCCTTTGCCATTGGGTATTTGGGTTAGACTAATTTTCTTCTTAATTATTACATTTTACTTTGATTTATAATAAGAAAAAATAGATGAAAGAAAGTGAAAGAAAATAAAGTTGTGTATAAAATATTTTTTTTGGATCACAAATCAATATGTTGACTTTGATAATTATTACTTTATAAGTCAAATTATACTTTTTTTTTTGGTTGACCGTGTTGGCCAAAAGTGTATGCCCTATTAAACTCATAAAATGTATTTTTTAAATTTTTCTCTTATCAGAAATTAAGTTTCTTTATGTAACCAAAAAAATTCAGTTTCTTTGTGTAACCAAAAAAATTAATTTTCTTTGTTATAATTTGACATGATATTTAACAAAATTAGCTCACATGTTAAATCAGGCGTCATGTGACAGTAATTTTCATGTGAGATCGTGTCGTAATCTAACTGGGCTTTCAATTCTTGACACACAAAAAACTGGGCTTGCGCTATTTATTTTGATCTTCCTACCGCTTCCTTTTATTTATATTTTTATAAAAAAAATTTTAACATAAATTGGTTTTCTTTATGCATCTTAATATAAGAAATTATTTTATATCAAATTGAAAAAAAACAATGGAATGATGTTGGATAAGTAATGAGAATAAAAAAAAATAGTGAAAAATAAGAAAGAACATTTCTTGTAAAAAAAGATGAAAAAAATATAAGAGAATGTGAATATATTTTTTAAGAAAATAAGATGGAATAAGGAAGTGGGAGTGAGAAGATGCCGGAAGACTAGGAGAAAAAGGATGTAAAGAGAAGGATAAAATAGATATTTCTGCGATTAAGGATAAGAGAAAAAAAAATGTCAATAACATGGTCATCAACTAATCGATCTAGACAACCCTTAAAATCGAACTATACAATAGCAGGTAAGGTAAGAACAAAAGAAAAAGCAATGCTTTAATAATTGAACTGGGTCTTATTTCTTTATCTTTTACTGATCGGAAAAAGGCACTGTGACTTTGTTAAAAAAGAAAGAGAAAATAATAAATATTTCGTAATAATTTATATAGCTATTAAAAATTGTGTGTAATTATTACAAATAAAATAGGAAAAATAAAAGTAAACACCAAATGAAGTAATTATTTTTATTAGTAGTATAAATTCAACAAAATTGAAGAAGTAGCTCTCCTAAGATTCAATGTGTATTTTGGATATTGAATCACAATCTTACTGCTCCAAATTTTCTAGTTTGTATTAATACGAATTCTTTAGTATATTCTTTGGTGTATACAATTTTCATTAAGAATATTCAATTGATTTATAGTTATTTATTAATTTAACTTCTAGTATTATTATTATTTATCATATAGAATTCACAACTTTTTATATTAATTCATAATTTTATCCAGCTTATTTTATTTTATATTATTCTGACAAAACATATCATATAATAGATAACAATATCAACTTATCGCAATTCATCCTCGATCAGATTAAACCAGTTTAAGCCATAAATCTCCATCTTCACTAATTTAATGACCAGTTTAATTTAAAAATATAATGTATAATTGGATTTCGACGCCATGGCAATATCACTTCATTTAACAAAAAAAAAATATTTTTATATTATTAAAATTGCAAAGAATTTATCAAATACATCATTTTTAGAGTAATAATGAATGTGGTAATCGTAGCGTGCCACCAATTAAAATAACCAAATTTTCGCACCAGTTTGATAAATAAAAAATTTATTAAAAAAAAAAAAAAAGTGGTCAACGTAAAATTACATCAACTTATCTTCATGGTCCGTTAAAAAAATCTGAGATGTAAAATTTGGAAAGCATGAATAAAGATTAACGAGTATATGTATGTAAAAAAAATGGAATCTCCATGCCTAGAATATGTAGAGAAAACATTTCTAATTCACGAATGTCGATATCTATATTTCTACCTCCATTTGTGAAGAAGTTTGGACAAATAGAGCCAAAATGCTACCTGTAATTTGTGGCTAGAATGCAAAGCTAAAGCTGAAATAATGTCTAAAGCAAAGTTATGAAACTCGGGCTTCCCTGCCATCCGAATAAGCATAGTTGTCCACTCCCATGGCGCCAACTTCACCACCCCACAAAGGTATTCAAAGCCCTTTCCAATTCTACCGAGGATAGCACGCTCCTGCAACGTACAAGACTGAAAACTCAGATATCTAGGCTATTTGGCACTAGTTTTAGGTATTCAGTATACCATTGCATTATTCACAAGAATACTACATACTAACGACCTTTAAATACTCGAGATAATTTTTAATCACAAACTCCAATAATTTTACTACACAAACCAAAAGCTTTTTCTTCCACCAAAACAACTCTCTCCGAAGTCAATAATATTTAGTCAACAAACTTCGAGTCCCTTTCCTAGCCTCCGAGGCTCCGACTCCCCAGTCCCCTCGAAATTTTGGAGGGAAGACAAAAAAAATGAGAAAGAAATTTTGGCTCCTTGTTTCTCCTTCCCTCCCTTCCAAACTTTTAAACCAAACAAAGAACTCCCTTCCCCCTCAAACAAGAGGTGATGGGTGGGAACTGAGGGTGTAAGGCTCAAATAAATGCTACTTTCATGCTCTCACCCTTTTCAAGCCCATCCATTGAGAACACCTTTCTCCAAACAATATATTACACCACTATCTCACCGATGTCACTGTCTACGCCATTCCACCACCTAACTTCTGCCACATCCATACCCTTTACAGTATTACCACCACCTCTTCCCATGTTGCCATCAAACTATCCGGGTCAGCATGATCCACACACTTCACCATAGTGGGGTAAGTAAATGCAAGCACTTCACGGTCATGAATACATAAAGATATATGGGGAAGGGCAACCTCCTCACTTTTATCTAGATGAACCTTCCCGGTTCATGGGCAAGACAAAACACCCATCTTCCTTTACTCAGCAACACAAATTATTCGATATTTTAGTTATTTCAATTTCTCCTATTAAATGAAAATAGATGGGTTTTGTTGTCCAACTAGATGACTGAACTGAAGGATGCTACCTGCTAACATCGATGGAAAATGAGGAGCATAGAAACTACTTAATTCCTAGAGACGTGCACACCAATGTAGAATAATTTAACAAAAGAAAATACCTCAAATAGTAATGTCCTCTGGCCTTGAGGATCTTCATTTAATGCGCAGTCAATCACTTCATCATGCAGAAACACATTAGCTGCTTCTACTATATCTCGAAGAAGGAAAAGACGCACTCTAATACCCTTATCTGATAATATGAATAACAGAAGATCTTCAGTGGAATCAACAACAGCATCCATATCAAATAATTTCCAAACAGAAGAACTCGAAAACTTTTCAGAACGAGGGTCTCCAGTTATATCGGAAGCTTGTTCAGATATTGCAGCTACCTGAAACAAGAATGACATCCATATATTACATACAGTCCAAAGTTGCATAATAATTTTATCCACTAGAGTATTAAAATTTGAGGGCAGAAATGAACAGTATCTGCATTTTCAATGCTAAAAAAATTTACTCAAAAGGATCAGGCTTTTGAACTCAAATGTACACATTTATTTCAAAGGAAAAATGATATAATTCCGCCTATAAACTAATAGAAAAATGCTAATAACATACTCCATTATTGGATTTAACACAAATGGTATGAATTAAATGATTTGTGTCTCACTCCTTATTTAGTTGGTTCCACTCCCTGTTTAATGGGTTCCATTTTTATTTCACCCATTCATAAAGAGGATACTGGAAACTGGAAAGTCTGTAGCTAGCATTTTTAAACTAATAATGTAATAAGCCCAAGGAAGCAACTGTAAATCGATTTATACAGTGATATAGGGCTCCAAACTTTCAAGAGCAAGTGTGCACAAATATAGTCTACAAATTTATTTCAATGTTAAATAGCAATTCCGTTTATTTGGAGAAGTTATGATCCAAATGAAACATATTGGTTAACCTTGTGACTTGCGAATAACTTGCCAGCTTATTTCAAGCAATACTAGAATTAACATATTCACATCACAATTATATCGTATGGCTGAGTAGAAAAGCCAAGATAGTTCATACCAGGCGTTCTAGCCGGTTCCACCTTATAGATCCATTGTTACGAATGAGAAGTTCCCTCAAAATTCTTCTCATATCAGGGCTTGGGTCAGCTATAAGTCTTCCAATGACAAAAGGATATGCACTCTCAATGACTTTAAAATCAGGATCCAGAGCTTTAGCTGTGCCTTCTAGTGATCCCAATGCTCTAATCACAAGAGCATAGTCTGGTGGGAGGGAGAAGTTAAATTCATACATGACATCATATAGCTGGTTCATAATTCCCTGAAAAAAAAGAGTCCAAAACAAGATTAAACTTTGAAATACGAAGTGCCATTATACCCTGTAATTGTGCTTCAGATAGGTATTAAAAAACATAGACATTGTTACGGAGGACATTAGCAAAAAATAGATCTATGAAATTATCTTAGGAAATAACTTGAAGCTTTGAAGCCCAGCATCAAAACAAAAAATAAAATAAAACAAACCAGAAAACGATGTAAAGAGGATAAGAGACAACAAAATCCAAAAGCACAGGTTGCACCAAAGATTTATCCTTGAAAATTCAGGCATTCCTATCTGACAATAAGCACCAAAATGGTGCATAAATTGTGCACTGCCCAGCTTTTCCCTCTATAGTCACCCTTTTCCCCTAATTGACATATTTGAAAATGCTCAAAACTCACTCTGGGATACTAGTGTCTTTGAGAAAACTATGAAAATTATATTATTTCAATAATTGATTATTGTTAAATGAATTTTAATTAAATAAGTCCGTAAAAAAGCAATTTTGAGAAATTTAATTATGTTTGAATACAACAAAAAATCAGTTATAGTAAATGAGCTTTAGGAGAGAAAAAAACTGTTGGAAAATAATCATAAGTTTCAAATTTAAAGGAAAAAAAAACTTTACAAATTTCAGCTGTTGTCCCAAATGTACAACTTTTTTTCCTAAAAAATGCTTAAATGGTGGGAATTAGTCTTTCCTAAAGGTTGATGACCAAAATATATGATCAACGCCCATTATGGCTATTACACAGCAAAAGTTGATCCTTAGAAGTAGTATAAAACGCAAAACAAACCTGGAAATCTTGAGATTCACCGGTCCGATCAGCAAATGATGCTTGCAGAGCATCAGACACTGAATGTATATCAACACCCTCAGGGATAAATCCCAAAGAAAGAAAGTCATTTGCCAAGCTCAGAGAATCACGATTAACAAAATGCACAATCTGAAAGAGAGAAAAACTTGTAATAAAGTAATAAGCACAGCCAATAAAGGAAACTATGTATCTCCAGAAGAAAGTGTAATATAATGAAGAGGAAAAACTTTAAAAGAATGTATATATATATATATATATATAGAGAGAGAGAGAGAGAGACACACACACACATATATGATTCAAAGGATTGCACAAGTGTTGGTAGTTATATTCAAACTCAATCCAAGAAAAATTGGTCACTCATGATGAGGACTCTAAATAATCATAAGTTTCAAATTTAAAGGAAAAAAAAACTTTACAAATTTCAGCTGTTGTCCCAAATGTACAACTTTTTTTCCTAAAAAATGCTTAAATGGTGGGAATTAGTCTTTCCTAAAGGTTGATGACCAAAATATATGATCAACGCCCATTATGGCTATTACACAGCAAAAGTTGATCCTTAGAAGTAGTATAAAACGCAAAACAAACCTGGAAATCTTGAGATTCACCGGTCCGATCAGCAAATGATGCTTGCAGAGCATCAGACACTGAATGTATATCAACACCCTCAGGGATAAATCCCAAAGAAAGAAAGTCATTTGCCAAGCTCAGAGAATCACGATTAACAAAATGCACAATCTGAAAGAGAGAAAAACTTGTAATAAAGTAATAAGCACAGCCAATAAAGGAAACTATGTATCTCCAGAAGAAAGTGTAATATAATGAAGAGGAAAAACTTTAAAAGAATGTATATATATATATATATATATAGAGAGAGAGAGAGAGAGAGACACACACACACAGTGGCAATGCATGTACAGGAAAATTTCATACATCAGAAATAGATATATCAGATGTCTGAATCCGATGAATGAAATGATTTCTTATATTTCAGGATATCATCTATATTAGCATCATAAAAAAAAGTTCCCATGAACATGCAACACATTTTCTTGTAATAAATATTTAAATACTTTAGATTCAGAAAAAAAAAATGTTTCCGGATTTAAGTCAGATCTTATGAGAAATCATGGGTAAGTGGTTTGTAAACAAAAGAAGTCAAAATGTAATACATCCTTTTGACTCTTCTCCGACATCACCACAAATGGGAAGACCAATACCAAGTTGACATAAAGCACACATATTAGATGTAAACCCTAAAATATAAGTGAAATACATCATATGAAGAGAGAAATTACAAGTCAAATGGCAATTATATCGTTGATGCCACTTAATAAAAAGAGAGGAAAGAAACCTCAGAAACAACCACGAAAGCAAAGGCCTGTTGGTGTATGAGAGAAGAGGGGGAAAATAAACATTCGAGATTTAATGAAATGGGGTGGAGGAATCAGTTCTGAAAGGAAAATGCTCAACAGATTGGGCAGCTGCCAAGAGGAAACTGGGGGAGAGAGTTGCAGAATCATAAGTATAATGATGAGGAAAATCATATATGGAACTGGAAGGGGCTGGAACACGAAGGGGTATCTTAGAATTGAGGTGCTAAAGGTGGTGACAGGGGAGGAGCGACCACTATCGGTGTTCATCATTTTCTTTCAGCTTTTTTCTAGTTTTCTTTTCCGCTGTTTTCTCTGTTTTGGCTGTCATTTTTCTGATTTATCATAGTATCTTCCCTTTGGTATAAGGAGTTGAGTTCATTCCTTTTGATGAATAATATCCAGAATTTAGTTTTTATCAGTTTAACATCTTCGATGTAATTTGCACATCTCACATATTTTTTTGAATAAAGACATCACCATAAAATGTAGTGGAGATTATAACTAGTCATAGTAGGAAATTTAAGTTACATCCATTAAAACAAGTAATATTTAGATATTTCTCACCATTTGAATAAGTCCAATCCGGTAATGCCTAGGAATATCCCCCATCATTCCAAAGTCGAAATATGCTAGTGATCCATCATTTATCGCAACAAGGTTTCCTGGATGAGGATCGGCATGGAAGTAACCAACCTCAAGCATTTGCCTCAAAGAGCAGTATAATCCCTATAAAGCCATAAGGAAGAGGCAAGGGGCATCAATTGAAAGGCTTAGCATACTAAGTACAAAAAAAATGGACATAGACAGACGCACAATGGCCTAAAAGAGATATATCATATATGTAAACAGTCGAAGTTTGTGAACAACAAAACTTTTGTACTTTATACCTGGTCAATGAGTTCCCTTCTGTTCAAAGAAGCTTTAATCAAGCCAGTTTCATCTGTAAGCTTAATTCCATCTATCCACTCCATAGTCAGCACAGTGGAGCATGTGTAGTCCCAATATATTTTTGGAGCTTTTACGGATTTTGTTCTTTTGTCTTTAATCCCACCTGCATATTTGTTGTGCACTTCATTACTACCTCCAGAAAAGAGTCACCAACCCAAATTGCATGCTAAGCATAATTCAATCAAGTTGTTAAGAGATACAAATACTTATATCTTGAGAGTGCACACACTGCCTTCTCACTTGAGGAAGAATTATCAGCTCTGGAGGTGTGTGACACACACCAGAGTATTTTTCATTCAAACTCTTAGTCTCTACTCTCTAGTTTATTTTTGAATCTGTTTACCATGAAATAATTCATTTTAGTGGTCCCCACTCACACTTTACATTGTTTGGCGAATAATTATCTCAACTGTTTCAACAGTTTATGGCTTCAAATTGCATTCCTCATCAAACATATTCTGTTCATATCTCATCCCTCAACAAAATGTGATTGCTAAACACAACAATAGATACCCTACTGAAACCACTCAAACTCTGCAACTTCATGATAACTTATAAGGTGATTTTATACCTTCCTTTGTTCTTAACAACCAAGTACCTTGCTCAATTTTGTTCCCTCGTCAATATCTTCACTCCTTATCTCCTTGAATCTTTGCTCTACATGTTTTGTTCATAGTCTCAAGGGGGTGTATTGAATTGGGATTTCGAAAGACAATTTTGGCATAAAAAAATCTTGTGGATTTTAATGGATTTTAAAAGACTTTGTAAGAATGTCATAACTTTTATGGTTTAGGGTTTAGGGTTTAGGGTTGACACACTTATCGTCCCTCCATGGTGATTTCATGAAAGAGGAGTATATGCTTTAGGAATTGTGGCCCAAAGGGAATCTTCAAGAATAGTATGTCATCTCCAAAAATCATTGTATGGTCTTAAATAGTCCCCAAGGGCATTTTTTGACAGATGTAGCATCGTGTTAGTAGTTTGGTATGACACACTGAGCTAATTGTTTGCATGTAGACAAAATCGTTATTACATCAAGTGATCACCACCCCATCACACAAATAAAGAAACACCACTTTCAAATGAAAAATCTTGGTAGACTTTCGATACTTCTTGAGGATAGAGGTGACAATGACACAATCCAACAATGATATTGAGATTTCTTAAAAGAAGTATGCAATGACATCCTAGACGAAACAATATTGACATGTGCTAAGCCTGTTAATGCTCTTATAGATCCTAATATCAAACTTCTACATATTAGGGGGGAGCCACTTTACAAAAGATTGTTTGGAATATTGACTTATCCGACTATTACTCATTCAAACATCTACTTCACAATCAGTGTGGCATAAATTTCTTAACTCTTGATGTGAAGGACATTGGCATGTAGTAATTCACAGCTTGAAATATATTAGAATAGCTTCAGGAAAGGGCCTCCCATATGAAGACAAAGGACAAAGGAAAAGGTCTCCCACTGATAGAAACTCCAACTCCAATTCTCTATTGGTGGCATAATATGATTTGCTGAAGAAAAAAAAATGTTGTAAAATCAAGTGCAAAAGTAGAGTTTTCAGCCATGTCTTGGCCACTTGTAAACTTTTTTAGTTCAAACAACTGTTCAAAGAGCTGAGATTTGGGGAATTTACACAGATAACACTTATTTGTGATAATCAGGCAGCCTTGCATACATATAGCTTCAAATCCAATATTTCAATAGTTAACCAAACATGTTCAGATAGATTATTTTATTAGAGAGGATTTTATCTGGAGACATCACCATTGGCTTTGTCAATTCAAATGATCAAGTGGCAGATGTTTTCACCAAGTCATTGAGAGATCCTTGGAATAGTTTTTTAAGGCAAAGATAGATCTCTTATTAATAAAGCCACAAAATGTGACTTCAAAGCAAAGGTTAACAGATTACAGTACATCTATGCTAGCAAGGCTTAAAAAAAAAGACCCAACAATAATTAGGAATTTCTTAAGCATTCCAAAGGGTGATTGTACCAAATAGCAAATAAAATGCCACTAGAAAAAAGACTCCTTTATCAAAACCAAGTCGATGAAGCATTTTATCTGCCACAAGACACCCTCTGCATCAGAAACTGTATGATTAAAAATGACATTGTTTCTAAGAAGCCACAAGCTCCAACATTTGGCATGCCAAAAAACATGACAAAAGCGCCACAAATGCTTTCCTCTAAAAAATCCAACCATGCTGAATATAGTGTTGATGGAGATGGTTATGTTGATTGTTGAACACTATCAAAAGCCAAGCACTTATATAAGCTAAACCATAACTGATTAGAAAATTGGCATGGTAGAAAAATATGTTCAGCCAACTCACTGGAGAAGTTTGAATTAATGCAACTTTGGTTGGCAGCCTAGCATGGAGAAGTTTCCAAGAAAAGCTAATACACTGGATGGTACAAGTGTGCAACACTTTCCCAAAAATGCTTAAACAGGTTTTCCAGCTACATTGAGTTAACATGTTCAGAGCACAAGATATTATATGCAGCTGCCACAGCAAAAAATCATTCGCCGCCACCAGACCATTTCCATGAGTCCACTACTTATTGATCCAAAACAAAGTTTGACAGCATTGTTCTCAAGTTATCCACCAACTCATCCTCCCAGCTAAATAAATTTCGCCTCCACATCAAAGTCCATTGCCAACCACTAGGAATCCATTGGCCCATATCAGAAATCAAACCACTCTGATTGAGAGAGATTTGATACAACCAAGGAAAGAGATCTTTCAAAGAAATATCTCCTAACCATCTATCATTCCAGAATAAAGTACACTGTCGTTTCCCACTTCGTACCACCGAATTAACAAACCAACCACTATTAGCATCAATTAGCCACACATCACGCCACCATAATGATGAAGTCGGAGGATTGCTAGTTCCACCAGAAGTTGAGTGAAAATTCTCATATCTGAAACATAACAGTTTATGCCAAATTGCATTATAGTCTGTCAAAAAACGCCACCTCCGTTTGGCTGACAAACTCAAGTTAAACAATTCCAAATTCTTGATCCCAAGGCCACCTTAAGATTTGGGCAAACAAATTGTATTCCATTTAATCCAGCAGATTCTATCTGAATCATCAATTCCATTCCATAAAAACCTCCTCTGCAGTTTCTCCATCTCTAGAATTACCTTTTCAGGGGCTTTAAAGAAGGAGAAAAAATATAAAGGTAAGCTTGACAAAACTGATTATATCGATGAAATCCCTCCCTATATCGAAAAAGCTATACTTATATATCTAGCAAGCAATTTGATGGGGGTGTTAGAAATAATGTAATTATGGTAATAATATAAATAGGGAAGAACTGTATGTTAACTAAAGTAACAGTATATTCATGTAATTATGCTTAATTATCCTTGTATCTGTGACCCTTGATATAAATATATGCATTGCTGTGTAATAACACAGTATGAGGTATCCATCATGTCTCTCATTTTCTCTCTCTTAACATCATCAAACTAAAGCATTGAGCATTATCTAAAATTTGAATTTGGGATTAAAAACACGGTTGAATTATGGTCATGCCAAAATTTTATCATCAAAGAAAATAGCAACTATCCTTTTTGGTGTACATGTTGAACTTACTTGCAGACAAACAGTAGATTGAAGCAAAGCGCTCAGCATTTTTGCCCTCAAGGACATAATCAATTTCATCAAACATGTGCCTTACCTGTTGCATTAATATACAATGACTATCACACATAAAGGAGTTGTAATGTAAACTGAAATATAACAGTTCCATTATAGTCAGCTGGTATAATGGTCATTCGCACACAAGTAAAATGTATATTTATGACAATGTCGGGTGAAAAATAGGTCATACAAAGCAGATAAGATCTTAGTGCTCTGTAGAAAGGAACTTACCATTTCATTTACTGCAACCAAAAGATCTTTGCGAGCTTTGGCAAACCGTTTCAATTGGCCCCCAATCATATGGAATAACAAAGCATCAAGGGTCAATGAAAGTGACATACCAGGCCTCTGTACTTTCACAGCTACCAGCTCTCCAGAGTGCAGGTGAGCTGCAACACTTGAAGCAACAAAAGTAAACACTTCAATCTTCCTCAAACATGTAAATATTGTTCTAAAATTCCAAATTTATGAACAAGAAGTCAAACAAATATTAAATATTCAAATTAGAATAAAATCTAAGCTATTTGTGTTGGCAACAGACCTTTATACACTTGCCCTAAGGATGCTGCTGCAATAGGCATTGGGCTGATGTCATTAAAAACTTCACTAATAGGAACACCCAACTGGTTCTCAATAGATCTGATTGCAACATCAGTTGGAAATGGAGGTATTTGATCCTAGCATGAATGACAAAATTATAAGGCTTTATCAGTACAAGTTGACAGAAGAAAAGCATAGCAATAGTCAATCGATGCACCTGCAGTATTTGATTACATGCTGTGAAGTATAATAGAAGACGTCAGTATACCTGTAACTTGGCAAGTTCTTGGCAATATACTGTTGGTAATATGTCAGGCCGGGTGCTCAATGCCTGCCCAAGCTGTAACCATGAATGGATTAAGTCAAATATAAGAACTGCACAGATACATTTAATATATCATACATATCAACTATTGCTCCATTTAACATCATAATGATGATGCAAGAAAGAAGGAAAAACAAATAGGAAAACATCTCTATATTCAAGTGCTTTTACAAAAGAAAAGATGAAACCTAAAAATAGAAAAATAAAATAAAATTTCATAACACAAAACATAAATTACCTAGAATAAGATCATAAGAATTAGATTGCATTTCAACAGTAAAGGTAAAAGTGGATAAAGGTAAACAATACATCTCCAATTAAAACAAATAATGGGAAAAATAAAGATTACGATCCAGGAAATGTATCAAAAGCCCTTAAAACAGTCACCAAGTTATTTAGCATTAGATACCAGAAAATATTTTATTTTAGAGTGAGAGCGGAAGTTCATATGAGAAAGAGAAAATAATGCTAACATAAGTAAAGTACATATCTTAAACTAACCTCAGCATAGAACAGACACACACATGTATATAAAAAGTAACACAGAATAAACAGATGATGAAACCAGAAACCAATAGGAAATAACCTGTTACAAAAACTTGCCTTAATGTAGAAAGGACCCAAGCGTATTAGTGTTTCACGAAACTGCAAAAAAATTGCATAGACATGACTGTGCATTCAAGTCAGTTTTCTCAAACATAAAAATAATAATAAATCCACACTCTACTGCTGGAAGAACTGTTAATGGAAGAAACTTAAGTGGTTTGGTATTTCTTATAATGCTTAAATACACGGTTGACATTTAAAAGCACATTACGAACAAAATGAATAAAGAGACTTCTGGTATATTGCAAACCCATTCATCAGAATGAAGCTGACACATGACAACAATTTTCATTTAAAAAACTGCATAACAGTCAAATTGATGTTCTTTGTTTTCAATGAACTGCATCAGGTGCCAAAGGAACAAAAGGTCAGGACAATTAATGATAAAAAAAAATTCTGTTATCTCAAACTGACCAATTATCTACATTAAATTATCAAATAAAAAGACATGCAACTAAACAGACATGCAACAACGAACAAGTCGTTGGATTGAGTGCTACTAGACTCAATTCCCTTAAGCAAGGTCTCTCTCTACCCACTAAACTCCAGAGATAGGGCTACCCTCCATCTAAATCACTCCCTTTGTGGGGCTTCTACATATCTTCTCCATACATATCTAAACAACTTGAGACAAGATTCTAACATTTTTTCTACAAAAGGTACCACTCTAACTCTCTAATACCCTCATTCCTGATCCTAGTCAAGTATGTCTACTCATACAACACAACACTCTCACTTTTATACACCGAGCCATTCTCTTGTTACGTTTTTCTTGTACAACCGAGTGGTAATGAACTCGATTCCTTTAAGCAAGGTCTCAATTCCCTTAAGCAAGGTCTCTCTCTACCCACTAAACTCCAAAGATAGGGATACCTCCATCTAAACCACTCCCTTTGTGGGGCTTCTACATATCTTCTCCATACATATCCAAACCACTTAAGGCAAGACTCTACCATTTTTTCTACAAAAGGTACCACCCTAACTCTCTAATACCCTCATTCCTGATCCTAGTCAAGTATGTCTACTCATACAACACAACATTCTCACTTTTATACACCAAGTTATTCTCTCGTTACCTTTTTCTTGTCCAACACTCAATTCCATACATCATTGCAAGTCTTATCATTGTGTGATAAAAAAAATCTTTAAACTTTTTTTTTGTCATAAATAATACATGATGCACCCCCCCCCCCTCCATCTTATCCACACTACTTGAATCCAACGGTTAACATCACAATGTTTCTCAGTCATAAGATATTAAATTTTAACTTGTGGTAACTTATGGTCTCCAAGTTTAACCTCTAAGCCAGGATCGATAAGCCTCCAGCTAAACTTACATTCCAATGATTCCACATGCTCCATCTTACTTCTACTAAAACAAAAGTCATTAGCTTCCAAAATTTGTCTCCACGTCTATAACTTCCCATTTATTTCCTCTTTTGACTTTCCAAGTATAACTATATCATCTTAAAAAACAAAGGCATTTACGGATTTGCCTCACAACAAAGGAAATTACAAAATGATCGATGAAAAATACATTTATGATTGAGACATTCAACATAATTAAACCACAGCACAACCAGAACTTGCGTAGCAAGTTGAGTTAATTGACAAAAGTGGCTGCAGTATTGTCTCTGCCTCTATTTTGTTCCTAAGGCTCCATTTCACTTTCTTTTCTTTTCCCAGCTTCTAAAATGTGTTCGGTAAGGAAGCTGCCTTGAGTTCTTGTTCAACCGGTTAACGGAATTTAATCCTCTCCACTATCAAGGCAACTTACCGAAATTTTTTCTCCAGTGATTAATTCTTGATCAAATGCATAACAAATTAAGCGGATTAACTTATTACCCCAAACCGAAAGTAACGCGTGCTCATTTCCTAAGTGAATCTTCAACGGTGCATGAAAAGCATTGACAAAAGATAATATGTTACCTTAACTGCACGTTCTTTCATGTCTTGAACGAATAATTGCCATATCATTAGCCTGAATACATGAAATGAAATAATGGATGCCCTGTACAAAGCCAAAAAGGGGCCAAATCGGTAGATAGGATTGAAACTCTTAGAGCTATAAGTTCCGAGAGCATGCCCGAATTTACTTTCCAGGGATTCCCTCCTCATCCTGGCATACTCAGCAGAGGGCGTTTCGCCATGCACGCTCGTGAAACCAGTTGAATATCTGCACCAGCATCCACGACGAAAAAAGAAATGAAGATCATAACAAAAAAAAAACGGACCAAAATTCGATTTCATGTTAATCGACTCACGAATTTCGTTGCAATAAGCGAGAACAAAAACGGCAATCCAGTGGCACGCATTTGCGTAAGATAATTTCAGTGAGACTCTCGTGATGTAAGCCTGCAAGAAAAAAAACCCTCACTACAATAACAGTAACAATAACCTAACCGCCATTCAATTGTACGTGTAGAGTGATCGGAGAAAATAAACAAGGAAATTGAGAGAAACAGTACATGCGGAGTTAGGAGTGGCGGCGCGGTGACGGTAGAGAGCCGCGAAGGCATTCCTCGTCATTGATATATGGAGCTAACAAGTTCAGTGGAAAGCATGGGAAAAGGATGAACGGAAACTGTTTGAAAAAATGCATAGCTGTGAGCAGTAAGTCATTGGTTTGAAATTGAATCGACGAGTAGCAACGGTGAGTGTGACGCTGAAAGCAGAGGAAATTGCCACGTCTTGTGTAAGGTAAGCAAGGAAGTTGACAGTTGGCACCAATTTATTTTGGGAACGAAAACCGCCTCTCTTGGGTTGGGATTGGATTAACACTTTACGACCTGGCCACGGTGATCAGTTTCTTCGTTTAAGGGCCCTAAAATGCCAAATGAATCCATCTGTTTGCAAACATGGCCGCTCAATTCTTTGATACTTCATAAATTTATTTATTTTTAATATAGGTACTATGGGAGAAGAAAAAATAAATCTTAAATTATGTTATTTTATTTTTAATATATTATTTATTATCTTTTTTCATTTATATCTTAATAATATTCTTTCAAGATGTTATATTACATTGTTTCTAAATAAATAATAATAAAATTAAATTTTGTAAAATTATTATTATTTTTAATTTACTAATTTGTTTTTTTTAGTGTATAATTAACTAAAAGAATGTTACTTATAGAACAAAGAATATATCACCTATTACTACATATAAGTAGAGTTAACCTTACCCAAACTGAATATAATGTGGTTGAGTTTGGATTTCAAATGTAGATTCGATATATTTTTATGACAAATTTAAATTATATCTCGAGTGATCTTAATTTGGATTAATGTTGTATATTCACTTAAAAAAATTGAACAATTATACATTAATATAGAAAATATTTAATATATGGCATTTTGAATGATATGATATTATATTTATAGTTTTATTATTTATTTTTAAATATATGTTCTCAAATATACCTTTATTTAATTTTTATAATTCTTATATTCTACAATTTAATTGTATATAATATTAAATGTGATATATTACGTCAAAAAATTGAATGGACTCAATCTTATCTTATGTATTATATGTTTTGATCGAGCTAATTTAAATTTAGAAAATGATTTTATCAAAATATTAGATTAAGTAAGGACAATATAAATTCTTCTTAATTTGTCTCTTGTTCACCCCTACCAATAAACCATCAATGAGTGTAAAATTGAACTTTAATAAAAAAAATTAGGTCAAGTGAAACTTTTGTCTTATTCTTGTTTACTTAATTTATGTTGTCTCACAATATTTTTTTAAAAATCAAACATGAAACAAAGATAATTGTATTCACTAGGTTTAGGTATTCTTTACTACTATAGATTTTCACAAATCAAACGAACCTTAAGATACAATTTGCTATCTACAAAATTTTACCCGTATTTTATCTCATACTAGTTTGAATGTGAAATTTCTTACATGGAGGCACATTCACTTGGATAAAATAGTGTACATTTGTATTTGTGTGTTAATATGAGGTAAAGAGAAAGACATATCATTTCATTGGTATGGTGCAAACAAACAAAAACCATAAAGATTATGCAAGCATAATTTGTTTATTTATTAAATTATTAATTTTACTTAATTAAAATGCACTAATATTATTAAAGTTTTTACATTTTATTGATTGCTTATATAAATATTACCACCATAGTGTATGTTTGATTCTTCTTCATATCAAGTTCAATCTAAGTCACATGAAAGCCAATAGAAGTAGTTTTTGCATGTTAGACGTGATTTTTTTTTTTTTGTTTAGAGTTTTAAACATACTCATGATAGTTTAAAATACAAATCATGAGTTGATCACAAATAAAATAGTTTGAAATAAGTGACTTTACACTATTCTTAATATATCTACATTTTTTTACCTTTGAGAATTACAATAAAAATAATAGGATTTGAACCTAAAACTTTGTATTTACTACTTCAATTCCACAATAATATATATTCTCAATATATCTATATGCATATGGTGTACACATATTCTAATGTTTAACAAGTTCCTATCTATTATTGTTGAGAAAACAAAGGTATTAGCATTATTCTTTATACATAAATTAAAGAACTCTTTTGGAAAAAAAATGAATAAAGAAGTGGATTATGAATGAGAGCAGATGAAAAAAAAAAAGAAGATAAGAAATGAAAGAGATAGATATAAGAAGGGAAAAAATGGATATATGATAATAATAACTCTTATTATGAAACTTGTAACATGTTAAGTAAAAAAAAATTAAATATATATGATACATTAATAATCATTAATTAGAAAATTATTAATTATGAATTATAATAAAATAAATTAATATATATGACAAAATTCAAACTAAATTAACTTTTTAATTATTAATCAATGAGATATGATATAATTGATATATAATTAGGTATATTAAACTACAATTGACAAATGTATAAAGTCAGGTCAACTTAACTCATGTTGACAATACATTACATGAGCTTAATTAACTTAACTTAATTTTTTGGGGCCATTTATTTTGTGGCTTGACTTGATCAACTTTTTACCCTATTAGACATGGTCAAATTAATTTGTTTTATTTTATTTTACATTGTGATTTAAATTTTACAAATAAAAATATAACAAAACTATCAAAGTAAATAAATTCGCTAGATTTCAAATAAAAAAAAATAATAGCCCAATTAACATGTTGGGTTGGGCCATGTTTAACATCTCTACCTTAAATATGCAGATGTTCAATTAAAAAAAAAAAATCATTTTTGAAAGAGACATCTTTAGTTCAAAATAAAAAAGAAAATAAATAAAAGTTGTCAATACAAAAAATTCAACCATTGTATTTCTTAATCGGTTCATATCTTTAATTAAGACATGAAATTACACCAAAAACTTTATCCCTTAAATGAGTTGACCTGATAAAAAATAATTATATATTATAGATATAAAAAAAAGTAAATTATATTAACACTCTTAGCATTTCATGAAATTGCATTCACACCTTTTTTTTTATCCTTACATTAACATTATACTTGTTTGAAAAAATTATACTAACACCCATTAAATATTATACAAATCCCTTTCAATTGTTTGAAAAACATTACATCCTTTATAAAGAAGATTATTGTAAACATAAAAAAGTAGAGGTACAAACAATTTCATAAAAAATTATATAGATGTTCGTATAATTTACTCTTTAAAAATAATTATCAATCTCCTAATTAGTAAATGATAAAAAAATATTTTAATTAATCTGTATCAATAATAAAACTTATTCTCATTTTTTTTACACATTTTGATCGAACTATTTTAATTTTTTATTATATTTAATCACCTCTCATATTTAATTTGCCCTTTTAAATTTAATTTATTATTATTTAAATAAAATAGACAGATGTATAAGATGTCCCTTACCAGTTACCAGTAATAAATAAAAATAAGGTCTGAAACATTAGGTTACCATGTTCATAAAAAGAATGCAATAGATAAAATAATATTAAAATTAATAATAATTATTAGACTTAATTATTCCCCTCTCCTCCTTTAACTTCCGAGGGGTTCCTCTGAGTTGCGTGATTGGAAAAGAAAGGAAAAGCGATCAATCGAAAGAGAGAAGAAGGGAAAGAAAAGCAAAAGAGAAATCGTGTTCCAAGTAAAAGGAAAAGCTGTTTGGCTTGGAATGGCGCATCAACAATACAAACCATGGATCCAGGATGCAGTACCTTTGTTAGTGGTTATTCTAATAGCAGCTCATGTCCTCGCCATGGTCATTTTCTCTCTCCTCTCACCCTTCTCCATTACCCTCATCTCTCTCTCTATTCACTCTCTCTTTATTATTCAACAGGTATATTGGATTTATAGATTAGCCACCCAGAAACAAACGCGCCAGAGGAGAAAGGCTCACTGAACAACAAGCTTCGTCAATCGCCATTACTATTGGTGAACCCTAATTTTCCTACTTAGCAAATTTTTACCCTAATCTTCATTTTTATAGTTGTTGATTGTTAATGATTTCATAATTTACACTTTTTAATTAGTCCCTTTGTGCAATTTTAATTTATTGTCTCGTGTAGAGTACGCTGTCAATTTAGCAAAATTATTGATTTCTTCCCGTGTGTGTGATGTATATTTCTGCGGTTTGATTTCTCATACACAAATAATTTAATAAAAAACTAGTGTGTTTTTCTTATCTGAGTGATTTACTCTCGGAGAGGATAAGTTTGTATTTTTTGTTTTGTTTTTGCCTACTAGATGTTTAACTGATATAGTTTCTTGGAAATTTTCTTTCTTGCTCAATTCTTTTATAATTTCCCCAGTACCCATAGAATTGCACTAGCATGTTGGGAGAAGAGAAATGGTTATACGTACCATATTTAGTACCTGATATATTTTTTTTTAAGATTGTGTATTGTTTAATGATACAAAGTATGCATGATGGAATGGGAAATCCCAAAGTGCAGACAGGGTAATTATACTATTAGATGATATGAACATGTTTGAAATAGGATTATCAAGATTGCAACAATGGCTCAGTGTGACTCAAGAATGTTTTGGGTGTGCAAAACATTTCTCTGATAAAAGAGGAAAAAATTATCAGATAGATTAATGAAAGAGTGCATTTGTTGGGGATGTGCATTATTTAACTTTCCCTTGTTAAAGTGCTGAAGGTTCCTTATTTGTTTAATTCCCTGCAAATTGTATGCACCCTGAACTTCAAGAATGAGGCTGTTTGGGTGTTTCAATTTGAGTATTGTTAGAGGTTGTTCGCCTCCATGTGATTCCCAAGGTAATGGTTTCGACTGTCCCAAAATGGAAGTAATCAATATGGAATACAGTCAAGCTGCAACTGAGCTCAAGATTTATTAAGTTTAGGGTTTAAGTTTTGAAGTTCTATATTTTGTTAGAGAAATGTTTCCCCAAAATAACTAGGCGATTAACTTGATGTGGCATCCGCAATCTACAGTAACATTTTCATTTTTTCAAGCAACCAACTTTTGAAAGGCAAAATCTAAACGCGACTAAATCTGCTAAAGGAGTTGTTATTGCCCGACATGCACAGGTTGCAAATCTTCTCCATGTTAGTACTCGGTGGCAGTTATTGCCCGAAGACTCGCTCTGAATTATTTGGTAGAACCAATAATGAATGTCACGATACTCTTCCAGAATCGTACTTGTTCTTATTCTCATAACTTTAATTATATTTTAGTCTCTTGTTTTATTATTTGTTGAGTTTGAAGGCTATGTATTGACAATGGATTATAATTTAACTAAATTATTCATTTCGTCTTTTGTTTTATTTTTTATTTTTAGTTTGGTCTCTTGTTTGATTACAGAAAACATTTTCTGTTTTCATTTTCTATTTTTATTTCTTGAAAATTGTTTTCATTTTCAAAATTTTAAATTTAGAAAACATGTTTTGTTTGAATTGTTGTTTTTATTTTCAAAAAAAAAGTATGAATGATTTAATTGTTTTAACTTTTGAATAAAAGTTCATTAAACATTTTTTATATAAAATTTACAAACAAATTTTGTATAATAAAAATACATTAATATGTTCATCTTGGTTCCCTAGGAAAATCTTTGTATCCTATAATCTTTAATACTTTTTTATATTTAAATTTTGGCTTAAATATGTTTTTAGTCCCTCAAATTTAGAGTAAATCTATTTTTGGTCCCTCAAATTTAAAATTGTTGTTTTTAGTCCCTGTAATTTCAAAAAATCTTAATTTAATCTTTATATTCAAATTTTGTTAAGAAATTCATCAAACATTATTGCATAAAATCTACCTATTGGTGTCCCTATTAGTGAAAATATCACATTAAATCCGGTTGATATTGCATAACTATTTTAATTAATCACTTTCAAATATGTTATTTGTGACCTAAGGGATTAAAATAAGATTTTAAAAAATTATAGGGACTAAAAATAATAATTTTAAATTTGAGGGACCAAAAATAAATTTTTTAGGGACTAAAAACATATTTAAGCCTTAAATATTTAATAGCAAAGATTTAAAGCAAAATATTATTGTACGTACTTTTACTTTTTTGCAAATAATTATTTTCTATATCTCCATCTTTTCGATATTTGTAAAAGAGGGAGAGAGAGAAGTCAGTGGCAGTGGCAGGTTCCAGACAAAATCTAGAGGAAGCAAGTGAGAAAAAATTATGCACAATTTAAATGATATAAAAAAATTAAGATAATCACACCTTGTCATCGCATATTCAAATAGACCACTTTCGGAAACGATGGTTTTTCATTTTCAAATTTCGACTTCTTTTGGAAATATTTTTTGAGAAAATATTTTGTAAGTTTAAAATCAAACATATTTTTAATGTTATTTTTTGTTGTCTTTGGAAATGAAAATAGAAAACAATAAAACTAAACATAACTTTATCTTTTAAAAAGTTTGGAGTTTAATTTAACTAGACTTTCATCTTTTTATTTCATCTCTTATGTATTGTCACACTATTTTTAAAGGAGTGTTTTATTTCAAACATATTTTTTTATTTAAATACTCAAGATCTGATTGGTTGATTTGTTTTTCTTTTTGATAAAATTGAATTTAGTATTAAAGAATTTACACCAATTCAGTTTAACTAACTATTGAGTTAGACATTGACCCCTTTATAGTTGGAAATTTTTTTGTCAATATAAAATATTTCAATAACAATAATAAAAATCAAACCTAACTTCTCATATTTCTATCCCATGGAGACACCTACCTTGTGATTAAAAATTAATCACTTTTCTTGTTGGTTTATTATTAAAATAAATAAATTGTGTTTAATATTAAATATTAAATTTAATACGATTAAAACAAATGATCAATTAAAAAATCTCTAAATAAGAGAAGTGTAATCCGTCACAAATTATAAGAACCCAACTTAAGGGTAATTTGATACTTTAACTTTAAGATATTTGAAGCAATTGAATACATTTCTTTTTCGACACCAGCAGCTAAATACAATTAACTAGTTTAATAAAATATAATTAATTAGTACATGATGGGTAATAACTGATCCATAATTAATTGTTAACATTTTCCTATAACTATTACTACCATTTAGGACAAAGGGAAATGTATATATATATATATATAGATTATCAAC